GAGAAAATTCACTGTCAGTTTTGCTTGTTGTACTCATGTTGACGTAATAAAATATCAAAAAACACTGACATTTTCCTTTGAGCATGCGCAGATTACTTGAGCTTTTGTCCTATGCACACGTGCAATCATAAAACTATAGGGAGCCACCTTAAGCCATTGGATTTTAAATTTCAGATTTAGATGGTGCATTGGCTTTGCAATCATGGGACTGAGATTAAAAAACAGCTTTCACAGTGTGATGCAAAGCTTAAAATAAATTTTAAAAAATTATCATGAAGCAAGGGGATCACTTCTCTTAGATAATCCTCCTATTAACCTCAACTTCAATCTCTCAAGTCTCAAATCACTTTTGAACTTCAATACAACATGGTCAGCGGGGTGTAAATAACAGGAAACGAAAAAAGCAAGGAGATAAAGAAGGAGCGAAGAAATACAAATTGTCCTGTTACCCACAACTCCGAAAATAGCTTACAATATTCCGAGTTAAATAAATACATAAAAGGAAGCAAGTCTTGTCCTAAAATGCTACTTAGAAATTTTGCTTGATCATAAGAATGCATCAACTGCATGAAGAGTATCAGCAGGGTAGGTATGAGAAAGCTGGTATACTTACTATCAGTTCAACTCCAAACATCGTTCCATTGTTCGATGGTAATTCACCCTTGTACCACACAACACCCGGCAATTGCTTAGAAACACCTTTCACAGAAACATAAACTTTACGTCCCAGTATTATTCTACGCCCGAAATCGAGGCGAATTCTGTCCATAAAAGTTTGATATCTCTCTTCGAGCGATGAAATAGCCAAAAGTAAGTTAGCGTCTTCGTCAGAGAGCCTCGTCAGATACTCCAAAGTACATTCAAGACGCAAAGACTTACGATCAATTCCGACCAGAGCTATTTTAGTTGAATCCTGAGGTTGTTCAGTTTCGGGCAGAGCTTCCAGTAAGTCGCCTCGCAGTACTTGTGTTGGTGTTGACTTCGTGGAAAGGCCAAGGGCAAAAACGTTTCTTTCTACTGTCTGCCCAACACGATCCTGAAGAAGTATATACTTCGTTCTTTGGTCCCCCATACTGTACTGTGTATTTTGCAGCTAACACGTTTGCTCCTGTCTATTATGTTATGACTTTATCAAACCTTCGTCGTCCATGTTGAAAGGAAGTGGTGGGAAATTCCCTGCCTCACTTTCATGCCTCAATTCCCGGAAATAGTGACATCATGCGCTATTTTTAAAAAAACAACGTTCCAGTTTGATCGATCATATGCCTCGTCACGCGCGTTTCAGTGCCGTGCTCTATATTTACCAGTGAACGATGTTTGACATAAAATAACCTTTGCGTAGTACAGCCATATATGAAATTCCTCTTTTCATAAAAATAAACAAAGCTTCTTAAACTGACAATAATGACTCTGACAGTTAACTTTCACAAAGATCTTTTCTCCAGACTTCATACTCGAAACAGAAAGGTTATTATTATTCAAAAAAACTCTTTACTAACGCAGTAACACAGTGTTGACAGATATAAGCCAACCTTAACGTGACACCGTTGCGTGACGTACGTAAGCCCAAACGATCGAGATTAACACTTTCCTCGACAAAGAAATGAACCAGTAATTTCTACACACAGTGTGATATATTAGCTGTGACTAGTTGGAGCGCGAGTTACATGTACAGGGCGCTTACAAAAAAAGTTTGAAACTCAGGCAAACGGCAACCTCGTTCCCAGGGTCTTTCATCTTCCCTCACTTCCCGAGAGGGCGGGAAAATGAGAGACCCTGGGAAACTTGTTGGGCAAACGATACGAAAAGCTTCCTTGGATTGTTTCCGGAAAATCTTAAACTTCGGATTTTCCGTTAAAAAGGTCACTCAAAAGTTGCTTGTCATTAAAACAATTAACAATACTTAGTTAGCAAATTTATTCGTAACCGTAAGTCTTGGGATCTGCGCGCACCTATGATATGGGACAATTTGGCTATTTTTAGAACAAATTGCGCCACCCTGACGACATATATCCGCGCGGATCCACGCACATGTCGTGAGTTCTCGCGTGGATGTTGTCATGTTGCATGATCAAATGGCGAAATTTGCGAGATTCTCTTGCGGATTTTTCACAGCGATGGCAGGGAATAAGGTAAGGACTAAGAACCAGGGTGCTATATGTTGTTTTATGCTCTGAGCTAATAAAAAAGGTGAATTTTTCAGGGTCGAAAACAAGACTTCAATTTCGCGCTGTGAATGAGTAGTATCTGCTCCCCCTAGTTGTACGAGTAAGCTTTCGCGTTTGCTCTGTAAAGAAAAGTTATGCAACAAAACTCTCTATTCTGGTATCGAGTTAATTTGTGGGTTTCGAAATAATGCTTAATTATAACCAAAACCTGTTTTTGATGTTTCAAGTTATTGTTTCTGCTCGTTTGACGAGTTTGCAAAAGTTTTTGATATATAGTCTGACGCGTGCAAGTATCTCATTTGCATAGTGCAGCGCGCGCACTTTCAAGTCCGAGTCGGTATTTTCAGTGGGCCCTTTGCACGATCCGGTCACATGGTACAATGCTGGGACGCAAGTTGCACAGTGGGACTTCCAAAACAAAGTAACTCGTACCAGTCCACCTAGACCTGCCTTTGTTTTGGAAGTCCCACTGTGCAACTTGCGTCCCAGCATGTGTGATTTTGTACCATGTGACCGGATCGTCCAAGGGGGTTGTTGTCAACGAATCTTGACAAAGATTTATTTTGTTATCTTTTGTGCTGAGATGCTGCAACAATTTTCACCAACGCCAAAAGGCTGCTAACATCATGTGCGTTTCTTCAACATAGTGAAATTTTACACTGCGAAAATAAAATAGACAAGGAGTTTTGATAACTCGACCAACAAAATCGAAATCGCTATATTCGAGATGATTAAAGAAAGCGTCATCGTAACTTTGGTAGTTATTTTTGCCGTATTCACATATTTTCAGCTAAGCTTTTAATAAGTTCTCAAACATTTATCAACCTTAAACATAGTTAAAAACTAGAGATGTTGCCAGTGAGTTCGATGTACCTTTTCACACGGGAGTCCAATTTGTCGTGTTTACTGACTGTACAAGACACGCATCGGTGGGCGCTCTTATCCATCGACAACAGACAATTTATTGGATTTTTTCACAAACAAAACTGAGCAGCATCTACAGACGTAAACTTATTGGGCCTTGATGAAACATCAAGCGTTACTTACAATTCAGGCGAAACTCAAAATTGCAATTTTTGTTTTTACTTTCAAAGTTTCGGTCGCGATAGACTCTGGCGAGATCCCTGCAAGCGTGTGGCATGAGGAAGGAAATTTTGAAGTCCCAAAATGCTGATATATCCTAATATATCCGACTAGTTTTTCGCTGTTTTATGGAAAAGCTGTTAACCTTCCACATATGTGAGTGGAGTAATGTGGAGCTCTTGTAAAAGAAGCCGCGGAACACAACTTGGTCAGTGATATAAATGGCGCAATTTGTTCCAAAAATAGCAAAATTGTCCCATATTATGGGGACAGGCTATGCTTGATTTCCAGCCGTTTTGGAAGTCCGGTTGTTTATCCTCCTCCCAAAGTGGTGTGGGGCAAGGAACGCGGGCTCACAAAACGGCTGGAAATCGAGCCTTGGGGACAGCTGCAATACTAGAAATGGCGCACGCTCACGGACTCCGTCCCCGATTATGGCACCTGGTTTCTGCTTATATACGAAGGACAAACAATGTGAAAAGGTTGGGTTCTATAGAGGCCCCGTTAGGGTTTTAGGATTATGGATATCGATTATTAGGGGTTTTTAGAGACGGGACACGGATTATGACTAATTTTTTTTCTTTGTTTGTTTGCTTTTTTTTTTTTTGGATTATTTGTTTCTCATTTTAAAATTATGGATTATTATCGGTCATAATCGCATAAATTGTTTTTACATAAGAGACTATGAAAGATCTTAAAAGAGAAGCTATAAAAAAGATGTCAAATGTTATTTATCTCCAGTATCCCCCCAATGCCCCTAGTCTAAATTCTGAGCTAGCATCGGGGTAGTAGCTGAGGACTTCCGGGTAATATTTTACACGACTCCCGCTGTTCGCAAAATGTCGTTTCTTTGCCTTTAGAGTTACGTTTGGATCTCACGAGTGTGTCTGAACGATTTTTCCCCTTTGCGTAAGGGTATGGGAAGTAATTGGAGCCTCCCTTTATATATCTTCCTCAGCAAAGGCTGATCCTGTATTAAGTGCCATTTATTCCTCAAGGCTTTCTTTAAATTAGGCACTCCTGGGTGGTATTGACATGTGGGACAAAAGGCGTTTTTTGTTGTACGTTTTTCCCTTTTGTTGAAGAGCGGTCTTTCTTCTTTTGAATTTCACTTCTAAGAGAACCAGACTATCTGGATAGCTTCTCACGTGAAGGCGTGGTTAAAATTATCTAATACTCCCTGCAAAAGTTATTTTTGTAGGGTTCGTTTGAAGCAACCTAAGTGCCTCACATTTGTTGAAGCCTTTACTGTCCTCTGGTGGGTGGCAGGAAGACGGAAATACGTGTACTGAAGCGTTACTCTTGGCAGACGCAAGTGTCCGGGAAAATAGTTTCCTTGCTGATGCTTCAGCTGCAAATTTAATAGGTCGCTTTCACGTGACGTCATCAAATTCCAAAATCCAAAACTAAAGAGCCACGAAAATTTTTATCCTCACAAGGC